TATATATATATATATATATATACTGCATATATATACACATATATATATATATACACACATATATATATATATATATATATATGTATATGCATATCCATCATTCGTTCTTGCCCTCTTACGATAAAGGGACGAGAATTTGTTATCTCTCGTAATTATTTCTCTTTTATTATTTATTTATTTTTCTTTTCTTTTTTCTTTCTTTATACGTTTAGGATAAGTTTTAGGGAGGAAAAAAAAAAATAAGAGATGGGCAGTCTGATTGAAAAAATGGAGCACACGGCGTTAGATCGTTCCGCGAAAATCGTTCATTCGATTATTACGATACGAAATATTGACATCTTTCTCGCTTCGACTATGCATTTCATAATTAGAACCTTTCCCTCGAAATTACAAACGCGTAAATACAACACAACACTGGCTTTAATTTGAAATCATTGCGAAACTCACACAAACAGATGGCTTACCGTTTATTATTTATATTAAATATCATTCATTTATTTAATCATTTATTTCATTATTCATTTATCGCCGAGTGTTCCATGCGCGAGGTACGGCGTCGTCTGTTTTTATCATTATCATTATCATTATCATGTATTTATTTATCTTCTTTCTATATCCATTATCATTATCGATATATTATTCCCTTCCTTTTTCATTTAATATTCTTATTATATTCAGTTTTTTTTTTTAATGAAGGACAGAGGGCTGGGCGCAGTTTTCAGGCAGATTCCATCCAATTACAGATATATTATATCATAGCAAACATCGTGACTATTTACAATAAATACAGTCGATTAGATTATATAAATAAAATATATATCGTATCGTTAGTTTAGGTTTACAGCAACACGTGACAGTAAACAATTAGATCAGCAGCAAAGTAGCGTTTAATCTACCTAGGGTAGTGGTCGTAGTAGCTGCAGCGTGGCTGACTTGTGCTTTCTTTTCGCTTCTTAATATATTTATATATATTTATTATATATATATATATATATATATATATCTATATCTTTCTCTCTTTCTCACTCTCATTCATTAACTCTCTCTCTCTCTCTCTCTCTCTCTCTCTCTCTCTCTCTCTCTCTTTCTTGCTTTCGTTCAATTTCCATCTTACCATTATTCCTCTTGTATCAATTTGTTTATCCTAATTTTATATTTATCTTGACCACACGATCCATTGAGACGCCACTTCGTGTCAATCGAGTATATTTTAATATTTTATATCGCATGGACCAACTTATAATCTAACCGTGTCATTCTCTTTCTCTCTATCTCTCTCTCTCTTTCTCACTCTCTTTCTCTCTCTCTCTCTCTCTCTTTCGCACATATTTATATTTCATACACATATATATATAAATATATATATATATATATATATACATATAGATAT